TTAGAGCCGTGCTTTTAACTCGTCGAGTACCGGTTTTATAGACACAATTAAAGAACAATAGGTCGCGGTCACCGGTGACCGCTTGGTGTTTAACAGTTTAAAATGTGGGTTGACCTTAACACGTTAAACGCCATGGGGGTAACCGGTGACAACCATTAGTGGAAGATTTGCCGTCCCAACAGTTTTCTATTGGCAGTCAATACCCTAACCCTAACCAATCGATCGGTAGCCAGTCGATGTTGATCAGACGGGCGATGAGTGAAAATGACGAGCTTAAGCAGCTCAATAAATGTTGACTTATACAATCTACCATCGATTGATCGACAATCGATCGTATCGATCGACATCGACTTATTCATTCTACGATCGCCGATCGATCGATTGGTTGGTGACACCTTAACGTACCTACTAGTCATTGGACAGAGATGTGTTAGCAGCACTCTCTGATAAACCTGAACCTTTTATACCGCGATCTCCAACATGCCTGCCGGCGGAGATTATGACAAACACTCTTATGTAGAGGTTCATAGTCCAACGGACATTATACAAGGTATTGTTTTAAAGCCGCGTCATTTTTTAGGAGGTAACTCGGCTACCGATTCTGAGTCCGAATCAATAAAAAAATTGTACGTAAATATTTTTAATTTTTCTGAAATTACGGAAATCCGTAAGTGCGAACTACACGCCGCCGTCTTGTAACTAGCTTTATAACGCGGCTTAACACACACAAACTCAAACACGTAATTGATATTATTCCTAATTCCATTAAACTCCAATAAGGAACATTGCTGTCGCTTATTCTGAAATACCGTCGAACTTAAACGATTTAACATAGCCGTATTTTTAACTATTGGTCCGAAATTTTCTCTTACATTGAACCTTTATGACTTCTGTGACATGCCCTCGAGAAATGACATGGTTTCAAAACTACATCTTGTATATACAATGTAACAACAGCTTCGCACCAGCTCTGTTATTACGTTTATAAACTAGTTTCATTACGCGGCTTCGCTCGCATTAGTGACTTAATAATATTGACTTTAGAATAGACTATGTACCTAATTAACATAACACAACGGCCCTTTTTCAAAAATAAGCAGGCAGTAATGTACAGAATATATTTTTTGGATATACTGTTATTTCGAGACATTTCGCTTTTAAGGCCTGTTTCACGATGTCTGATAAAAGTTGCTTTTTATGGCATAAGCCGGTAAACGAGCAGACGGATCACCTGATGGTAAGCAATCGGCGTCACCCATGGACACTCGAAACACCAAGGCGTTACAAGTGCGTTACTGGCCTTTTGGGAATTGGGAATTTAAGGATTGTGGAGGATTTGGGAATTCGGGAGACGGGGACCAGGGCCCTCCCTAATTAATTAATTAATTAGGGTAAATGGGGTAATTGGGGCTTCGGTAACCTCACTCACACGACGAAACACAACGCAAGCGTTGCTTCACGTCGGTTTTCTGTTAGGCCGTGGTACCACTCCGGTCGAGCCGGCCCAATCGTGCCGAAGCATGACTCTCCCACACTTAATGATAATCTAATATATAATCCCACGCTTATGAATATGAGCCCCTGTCGTGGTTTGAAATCAGTTGAGTTACCTCGTTAAACAACTGTTTGACGTTGAATTATTATATTTCACTGACAAATGTATTTTTTAAACTATATATCTGTTATTTAGTCTCACAATTAATGTATCAGACATTTTGAAACCGGCGCTTAATATATGACAATAATATAATTAATCTCATTGTAGTAGGAAATTATAATTACACATACAGCCAAACCTACATATCAATTCCCAAAATAGAATGCCATGCCCGAGAATCGAACCTTTGACATCGCAATCAATAATTTACAAGCCAAACCAACAATACAGTCCTAATATAAAAATCGAATTCATTATTAATTCTATAATTTAATTATTATTTAATAATTGAACTTCTAATAAATGTTTAATAATTTAATTATATTTTTTTCTTAAAAATCTTCACTTCTATCATACTGGACTCCAACTGCGCAGTTACTGATGATTTTTCTAAAAAATTACAGTAACACTCTTCGACTCGGGAATCGAACTTTGATACCAACGTTCGCGTGCTTTCAACATTCTACAACCAACATGGGCATGACATTATACGCTATAAATTTTTTCTTAATATTAAATAAGGTGTATACGCAACGCTTCCAAAACGATGACAAACAGAGTGCCAAGCACGAATAACTATCGCATTCGTAACGTAATAGTATCGAGCGCGTTCGGCGCTCTGATTGGCCGGCTCGAGTGAACCAACCAATCAGAACGCTTAACTCGTTCGACACTGTTACGATTCAAATGCGATAGTTATTCGTGCTGGGCCCTCAGATTATTTTTTACAATTACTTACTTTACGGTAGTTTTCTTAGTCAGAAATAAATTATTTCGACTGTAGTTAAGTCATCGTAACCCTCTATTTCGATCATCATCATCATCAACAGCCTATAAATGCCCACTGCTGAGCAAAGCCTCTTCTCACACGGAGAAGGTTTGAGCATTAATCACCACGCTTGCTCAATGCGGGTTGGCGATTTCAAACTTATAATTAGAAATTATAAGCCCAGGTTTCCTCACGATGTTATTCCTTCACCGTTTGTCAGTGGTGTCTAGATAATCTTAGAAAGTACATTTAATTACTAACTTTTATGAAAAAAAAAATATATATTTACGGCATTTTTTGGAAGCGTTCGTTTACACCTTGTAATTTGTGTTTTCTTAATATACAATCAACTTTTCACTATTTATGTTATGAGTCCCATGTAATAGGGGGTGAGCCTATTGCACATATACCGGACACGATTAGGAACCGAACATTATTATGTACTTAAATTAAGTAGTGCCCAGTTAGAACAACAGGTCGCGCAACCTAGTTTCAACTTAGTTGTGCAACCATATTGTTGACGGCAACCAGATCGTCGCGCAACTATAAATCTTGTTTAACAGTGAAATAGGTGAGCTTTTTTGGCTATTTTCACACACCATCTCTTAATTAGGCGTTACTTGGTGTCGCATCTAAACTAATTCCTTACCTAAATCGGTAGGTGTCATTTATACATACATAGGTTGATGAAAACCAAAATGTCGTTTAGATTAGGAGTACCTTAAAGTTTAAGAGAGGTTGGCGAAAACGGTTATTTATAATTCATTTGATTTTATGAGCTATCGGCCCCCGTATAGTCCGAAAGCTTTCGATCTAGCTCGAAACACGAGTTTTAACATTGAATCATTAATTTTAATTTATATTAATTACATTTAAAAGTATAACATTTCGGCATAGTCACAAATTAGTTTTCAGTGCTTCAAAATACACTGTATTGCTCAAGAAATAAGGTTAATATTGCATTAGCAAACAGTTCATAGAAGATAGATTTTTAGACAATCGACGTAAGAGACTAAGTGTTATTAAAAATATATTTCATCTATTGTTAGACGAAATTAAACCTTAATACAAGGTATTAAAGTTGATAAATATCACGCTTATAATAATATACATTATTATTTGTCAATTTGTTTTTCTTTAAGTTGGTCTTCGTCAAAGTTGTCGATTATACTTTCGTTCTTTTAGTTGGAATTTTATAACATACCTATATAACATCTCGCCTTTTATCCTCGCAGGGGTAGGCAGAGGTGCACGTGCACATTACGGCACTTAATGCCACTGTACAATGTAACACCCACTTTTCACTATTTATGTTATGAGTCCCATGTAATAGGAGCTGAGCCTATTATCGAAATTTCAATGAAGTCTTTATTTTACTTAAAACGTATTAGGAACTTTGTGATGTATACTAATCTATATGTATAAAAATGAAACCCGTTTCCCGTTGTCACGCCATAACTTGAGAACGGCTAGACCGATTTAGATGATTTTGTTTTAGTGTGTTTGTTATTGTCAGGAGAAGGTTCTAATGATAGAAAAAAATGCTGAAAATCTTATGGGGACAGGAGGAAACGGGATTGCGCGTACGAAGTCGCGGGCAGAAGCTAATATAGTAAAGAAAACTCATTGTTTGTTTCCATCAAATACATACATACGCCCGAAATACTGAACGGCTACTCATTTTAAGTCATACTTAAATATCCTGCCATCTCTGTCATTTACAAAGAATTTGTAGAGACAGAACTATAAGTAGTTTGTTTTTTATAACATAATCCCGTAAACGAGCAGACAGATCACCTGATGGTAAGCAATCGACTCCGCCCATGGACACTCGAAACACCAAGGCGTTACAAGTGCGTTACCGGCCTTTTGGGAATTGGGAATTTGAGGATTGTGGAGGATTCGGGGATTCGGGAGACGGGGACGAGGGAGGGGGGTAATGGGCCTCCGGTAACCTCACTCACACGACGTGAAACAACGCAAGCGATGTTTCACGTCGGTTTAATAAGTTAAGCGCGACTTAAAATGTGTTTGAGTATTTCAGCGTAAGACTTGTAATCTAATGGTCCGATTTGAAAAATTATACTACCATTCAAAAGCCAAACTAAAAATCGCGGGTTACTCACGTGAATATATTGAGAAAAGCTCTACTAATTTCGAGTCACTAACACACGCCCACACTAGTACGAATACACGCCCGATTTCAATCGTCACAAAAAAGTACAATCAGCAAAATTGACGGTGACCCAGTACTCTATAGTCTCTTACATCGTTTTATGAACACGTTTACACACCAAAATATGCAAAACCAGTATAAAATGACCGCTTTGTGAGCTTAAAGATGATATAAAGCTGGACCATGGTAAAATGGTTACTGTCGCCATGTATGAAAGACCAGTATAAGCTGACCGATCAATGTGCTGAAGAATCATACGAAGCGGGACCAAAGTAAACTGGTTATGGACTATGACTAAGCCAGTACAAGCTGACCGTTCAATGTATGAAATGGTCTTACAATGCGAGACCAAGATATAATGGTTTTGTATAGTTTGATGTGTTACCGTGTATATGATTCTAAACAAAGTAATAGAACGGATATAAGTATCGCCACCACCCACCGGTTTTGGGTTCCTCCTCTTCTTTAGGTGTCTCCGGCTCTGAGGTTAGGGGTTGTGTATCCTGGAAAAAAAGTCAAATCATCATCATATTAGTCATAGGACGTCCATTGCTGAACATAGGCCTCCCGCAATTACGTCCAGATATACTCACTCTCACTTTAAGTTTGGGAGAGGCTCGACCGGAGTGATACCACGGCCTCACAGAAGACCGACGGCCTCGGTGGCTGAGTGGTCGCAAGTGCGACTGCCAGGCAAGGGGTCTCGGGTTCGATTCCCAGGGCGTGCAAAGTATTACTGGTTTTTGTTTTAATCTCAGTAGCAGCACGGTGTCTGGAATTGTGTATAGCAATAGGCTTATCCCCTATTACATGGGACTCATGATAGTGAAAAGTGGGTGTTACTTCTGTGTGCACCTCTGCCTACCCCTTCGGGGATAAAAGGCGTGATGTTATGTCAAAATATCGCTATCTCATACTGCATACGCTGAGGACTTTTTTTTTGGACAAGCCCGCCACAACCTCCCAAAACCGCTGCAACTCCTGTGTACCAGGATCTACAGTAGATACAACCAGGAAAACACCTGAACACTGAAGTCCGGCGCGTCCCAGGGACATGAGTAACTGTCTTGGTCCCGCAACGAAGTGAATCAGAAGATATTATAAGAGGAGAGAAAAAAAAACGCTGAGGACTTGTCTACCTCTATTATCTGTTTACGCTACTCGGGCTGCAGGCTTTTCTTTTACAGGAGCCTTTCTCAGTATATGAGTAACCTTTTTTTTTTTTTTTGAGGGGGGAGAATCATCCAATGACTTCTCCCGCCCGGGCGAGGCGGGAGGGAGTGTCAGACTCTTACTGACTAAAAACCACCCCGTTCCTTCTCCTGCACTTCGAGCCGGAGCCCCGGCAACCCGTTAAGTCTTCCGCGGCTCCGTATCGGCATCAGCCCTGTTAGGCCCCATCTGTGGTGGTCTGATGACTCCTTGAGGCGCGCGTGGAACGCTCGGCGCTGTACGCTCGGGCCTGGTTCTGGTCGGGCGGCGAGTCACCCATGCTCGCCGTCCGCAGTCCCGCGCTTCCGGTGGCCGGAGATCGTCTCGCGATCCCCGACGCCCGGAGTGTCTCTCGCGACGGCTGAGTCGTGAGGAGGTTCGTTCCCTCACGCGCTCCGCCTCCTCCTTAGCCAGCATGACTGCTTCGCAGAGGAGACGGCATCCCAGTCCCCCTCGCTCCGTACCATGGTCTGAACCAGAGCCGGACGCGAGAGGTCACCGTCGCAATATATGAGTAACGTGCGATTGTTAGGGCACATTGTACTTACATTTAGCACATCTTTAAAGTCAGCATCGACGTTTTCTTTCCCCTTCCCAGACAGCTGCGTGACCTTGACTTCAGGTTGATGTGGTAACGTGGCCACTACGTCCGTCTGTGTGCTCTGATCTCTTGTACACTCTGACCTTTCCAACTCGGGACCCGTTTGGGATGACTGTGAAAAATAATTAAGTTGACTACCTCGTTGGCCGAGTGGTCTCAAGTGTGACTGCCGGGCAAGGGGTCTCGGGTTCGATTCCAGGGTCGGGCAAAGTATTACTGGGTTTTTAAAAATTCTCAGTAGTAGCACGGAGTCTGGAATTGTGCCCGATGTATGGCAATAGGCTCACACCCTATTAGGACTCATAACATAAATAGTGAAAAGTGGGTGTTACATTGTACAGTGGCATTAAGTGCCGTAATGTGCATCTCTCTTATGTTATGTTATTGTTCAATAATAATCCAATTCCTATGCCAATTTCCCGATCTACCTAATCCCTGAATCCCCAACAATCGTCAAATTCCTAATCCCCAAAAGGCCACAGGAGAAACCCGTGTCGTGGGTGCGTTTACAAATATACAAGTTCATATACACATGACACTCAGACCCGAAACAACAATCTGTGGATCACACAAAGAGTTGTTTCGTGCGGGAATCGAACCCGCGACACGTTGCACGGCAGCCAGTTGCCCAGACACCGGGACAACCGTGCAGCCATTAATATTTAATATGCATTACGTGAGTAAACCGAAAACATAATAATGTTCGAGGATGTTACTCAACCAGTTTCAAGTCATGTAGGGGCCCATAATATTATAATATTTATTCGTAAAAACATTGCTCCACAATTTTACATTGGCTCCTGTGTTGTGTGTGCGTTGACAAACAAACAATTTCATATACACACATCACATCATAATCTCAGCCAGAACCGAACGAAATAACAATTTGTGGATAATTTATAGATTTATTCCATGCGTGCATCGAAACTGCCGAATGTTGCTCGACAGCCCCTAAGCGTCATCCGTGCAGTAAATTTAATCTTATGTCGATGTAATTTGTCAAACACCAAGCGGTCACCGGTGACCGCAACCTATTGTTCTTTAATTGTGTCTATAAATACGGTACTCGACGAGTTAAAGTTTATAATGGCTCACCTCCATGTCTTCCTCGTTGACGATGCCTGAAGAATCTTCTTCGCATGGCTCCGAGTCTTTGGCAAATGGTATGAACTCTGGTAGATCCTGTAACAATAAATCTATAGTTAGCCAAGTTATTTAGTATGTGGGTAAGGAAATAGAGATTGATACAGTACAGAGACAGTAGCCATTGTTATACTGGAGCTATCAGACCACCACAGATGGGGCCTAACAGGGCTGATGCCGATACGGAGCCGCGGAAGACTTAACGGGTTGCCGAGGCTCCGGCTCGAAGTGCAGGAGTAGGAACGGGGTGGTTTTTAGTCAGTAAGAGTGACACTCCTTCTCGCCTCACCCGGGCGGGAGAAGTCATTGGATGATTTTGCCCCCTCAAAAAAAAAGCCGTTGTTATACAAAATCGTATGCTTTGTAACGAAGCCATATCTTTTGTAACCAGTGGTCGGCTCTAGACAACCAATGCTTACTGTATATGTATAAAAAATATGTCATGGTAGCCCGGAGGTTAAGACGCTCGCTTCTTATGCATGAGGGTGCGTAGAAACCTACCAACGGCAAGTACCAATGTGACTTTTTCCGAGTTACATGTACTTTCTAAGATTATCTAGACACCACTGACAAACGGTGAAGGAAAACATCGTAAGGAAACCTGGGCTTATAATTTCTAATTATTAGTTTGAAATCGCCAACCCGCATTGAGCAAGCGTAGTGATTAATGCTCAAGCCTTCTCCATGTGAGAAGAGGCTTTGCTCAGCAGTAGGCACTTATGGGCTGTTGATGACGATAAAAATTTGACTATTTGTTCATCATTTTTCTTAAACGAGCTGACAGATCACCTGGTAGTAAGTAATCGGCGCTGCTAATCGACACCCAAAACACAAGAGGCGTTATAAGTGTTTGCAGGCCTTTTGGGAGCTAGGAATTTGAAAAGAATTTTCAAAGTTTACTTTTTGCAATGGTTTAACAGTTATTTTTTTTTATATTGGCTGGGACAGACGTTTGACCACTATCTCGCCTGGTGGTAAGGGATAATGCGGCCCACGATGGAGCACGTCGACCCATAAGCAACCTATTCAATCAGGCCTTGAAGACACCCAGGTTATACCCTTCAGGAAGACTCTGGCAAAGAATTCCACTCCTTAGCAGTCAGTACGCACAAGGAAGCTTGATGCGAAGCGCTTCGTGCGTATGGGTAGGACATCTACCATGAATCGATGACGCTTCGCCGATTGCCTTGTGGTACGATGATGGAAAGGACTAGGGGGAATCAAGTTGTGCAATTCCCCCGCATTTTTGTTTTAAACATTTTATTCCTTTGTAAAACTATTGTATTACCGAGACAGAATAATTTTACTTCGGGATGAAAACGAAATAGATATCACGGTAAATAGGCATGGGCATGTTGAATGAAAGTCAGAGTCAAAATCATTTATTTCAAGGAAGGCACTTTTGAACAGCAACAATCAAAATGTAAAAGTGAAGCTATTTGCTCATTCCAAGGTGTAGATTCCTATGGAGAAGAACGATCAAGAAACTCTATAGGTTACTCTTTTCCAATCAGGTTTACAATACAGTTGACTAGTTTCCTAGGTTTCAAATATATTGTTTCAACTTTTCAATACAATAAATAATTAAAAAATAACCATACTCTCATCCATTGATTTGTCAATTTACCTATTTTTGTGTTTTTTTTTCTCACTAACCTTAAGGAACTAAGTATGCTATTTGACGCAGAAATATGATGACGTCATAAGTTGCGATCCAATACAAAATTCAGTATAGTTTTTTCATCATCATCATCATCATCAACAGCCTATAAATGCCCACTGCTGAGCAAAGACTCTTCTCACACGGAGAAGGTTAGAGCATTAATCACCACGCTTGCTCAATGCGGGTTGGCGATTTCAAACTTATAATTAGAAATTATAAGTCCAGGTTTCCTCACGATGTTTTCCTTCACCGTTAGTCAGTGGTGTCTAAATAATCTTAGAAAGTACATACATATAACTCGGAAAAAGTCACATTGGTACTTGCCGTTGGTAGGTTTCGAACCCGCCCCTCATGCATGAGAAGTAGGCGTCTTAAACCTCCGGGCCACCACGACTGGTATAGTTTTTTACATTTCAATAAAAGTATTGAATTTGACTACCTATCAACTACTATATTCTCTAGATACATAGTTTTATTAGTTATATAGACTAACCTCTTGTTGTTTGTCCCGTCTCCAAGCTCTGTAATCACAGGCAGCCCGTCGCATGCGTTGTAGATACGCCGGCGCCGCACGTCCAGTAGCCCAGGCAGCCACCGTCGTTGGCATGCCACCCACTGCCGGCTCGTCGTAGTATGTTAGCACGAATTCCATACCCGCCTGAAGAGAATACGAGTATTTTCATGATAATTTTATAGTAGTTAACTTAATGGGGTAGACGACTAATTTTTATTTTAATGTCCGTCTGATAGATTATTTAAAAACATTAGACACGTATTTTTTATTTTCTCACAGAAACGAATAGTTTCGAAGATATATTGATTTGAAATGTCGCGTGACGTCACTTCTCAGTACATTTTATACTAAGGAATGACGTTTTAGCCCCCACTCCTAAACTTTGATTCGTTTTATCTAAGTATTGTTTTATTATACGACAAAATAAAAAAATACGTGTCTAATATTTTTTCATTACCTAACTTACGGACTAATTATATTTTTAATTTTCATACCCTGTCATCATCCCCATTGTCTAATACTTTTTTTTTATTAATTTTGATATTACATTAATAGTAATCAAACAAAACGCCCTTCCTCTCTCCTACTAAATTTAAATGTTGCTATGCCCGATAGTGTCCGTAATTGTTACTATTGCATTTTCAAACCACCTGTATATGTACATTGTAGATGCAATAAATACTTGATTACTAGTTCGGAATTGTAATAAGTGAAGCCAAGTCTGTAACTTGGCAAACAAGCTGAGGAGTTTGATTGTTTGAACGCACCAATCTCCGTAACCACTGGTCCGATTTGAATAATTCTTTTTGTGATGGATAGTGCATTTATCAGGCGTTGAAGTTTCTTTTTTTTAACGTAGTTAGTGAAAGAATTATTTACCTTATCGGGCCCATTCAATGTTTTAACGACCATATGGCTCCAGTACTCTGACACTCTAATAGCATGTTTGGACTCCGGCACTTTGGGATGTTCACAGGACCTTGACATAATAACATACACCTTATTCTCACACATATCTCCATCTCTTTCCCTCTTACACGCTTCCATAGCTTTCCGTTTCGCTTTAGAGTGCACGCTCGGTCTTTCGGTGTAAACCGTCTCATTTCGAGTAGAGCGTTGTGACGCCCGAAATAGCCCGTCTTTGTGCGGGAGATTTTCTGTAGAGACGTCGAATTCTTTGTGCCTCCTTATATATACGTAGTCTCTGTTTGCGAATAGTCTCTGAAAATAGAATATTTATAGTTTTATTTAGTACATACAATAACTACTGTATCGTCTATTGAATCGGCAAATCGGTGCGATCGGTGCAAAATATAATCGATTTTTTTTTCGGTTCAAATCAAATCAATTTTATACAATTTTACATACAATAGAAAAGTGGTACATTACAGATTATAGAATACATTAGAGATCTTCACATTTCATCAGGTCAGACATGCAAATGTCATAAATTAATAAATTTAAAATGTCCAATGTCATAGATCAATCAAGGTGTTTTCATAGTAACATGATAATCTAGAATTTTGTTAATTTTCTTTCTATCGGTACTAATAAAGATAATAAAATAAAAAAGAGGAAAGATTTGACTTTTTACTGGTTTGTTCGTTTTCGAAACTACCAGTTGTATCTGATAGACACGACAGGCACGGCGGACTCGTCCACGACGAACACGACCGACATGACCCACGCGACCGACATGACCGACGCGACAGATACGAAAAACACGACCGTCGACAAACGTGACCGACGCGACAGATATGATTGACACGACAAACACGACAGATACGACCGACACGACAAACACGACAAATACGACCGATACGACAAATACGACCGACACGACAAATACGACGGACACGACAAATACGACAGATACGACCGACACGACAAACACGACAAATGCGACCGATACGACAAATACGACCTACACGACAGATACGACCTACACTTATCTACTCATCTACACGTCTATACTAATATTATAAGGAGGAGATAATTAAGTTTTGACAGCACGAAAATTAAATTAATTTCACAATAATTATAACTTAGGTTGAGATTTAGTACACAGCATTGAAATTAACCGTGGCAGACTAATAAAAAAAATTCTGCCAGCGCCATTATTATACGCGGACGAAGTCGTGGAGAACAGCAAGTCTATACAAAAAATACTTAATATGTAATTCTGAAGACCTTGTTTGAACGCACTAACTGGTCACTACTGGTCCGAATTGAAAAAATGTTTAATGTAAGATGGTGTATTTTATCAAGGAAGTATTAATCAATTTACAAAACATACGCTACAATCAATAGGTGCCAAGCAAGGCATTCGGAAGTTTTTAAGTGTGGGATAGCCATGCTTCGGCATGAATAGACCGGCTCGACCGGAGTGATACCACGGCCTCACAGAAGACCGACGTGAAACAACGTTGGAGTTGTGTTTCGTCGTGTGAGTGAGGTTACCGGAGGCCCAATTACCCCCCCCCCCCCCGTTTCCCCAATCCCTGAATCCCCAACAATCCTCTAATTCCTAATCCAGAACGCCGGTAACGCACTTGTAACGCCTCTTGTGTTCCAGGTGGGCAACGCAGATTGCTTACCATCAAGTGATCCGTCAGCTCGTTTACCGGCTTATCCCATAAAAAAAAATCTTAGCTAGTTATATAACACACTCACCGGCCACAGAACCTCCCAATGCAACACGGCCTGGTCTGCCAGTCCATTGGCCTTGCGCTCCACGACCGCTAAGGCCGCGACGGCCGCGTCCCACACAGTCCTGTACGCACCGTCCACTTGTACGGCCGCGAAATCTGACGCTCTCACGTCTAGATACCTGCCGTATACTGTAACAGACCATAAAAAGAAAATTATAAATGTGATGATCTCAGACTCGGACCTATTTCACCCATAAGGCAAATTAGGCAAGTGCCCAGGGCGCCAGGTTACACAGGGGCGCCGCGAGACGCGTGTATCCAACTGCCCAGAATGGCAGCGGCCAATAAAATAATTAACTTTTTAAAAAAAATAAAACAACTAAAATTACAAATAAAACTAAAAAAAAAACTAAAAATTAAAAAATAATTCCTAATACCTATTACCTAATACTATAATTTTTCTAAACTATATCAAAGTAATTAAAGTTAAACCATCTAAATATCTTAAAATAGTTATACTTATATACCTACCTATTGTTTTTTGGAGTCGGTGCCAGTGCCAGCGTATTAAAGTTTACCCGCGAACTAGAGACGTGCGACGCGGTGGCGGGGGACGCATGGCGCGAGGCGGGGCCGCGCGGTGCGGCGGGGGACGCGGGCGCGTGCGGTCTTGCTCGAGTAAGCGACCCGAAGGCGGGCAGACGCTTGAGGGCAGACCACGTTGACGCTCGTGTCAAAAATACTGAATTTTCGGATGCGCAATATTTCAAATTATTGCTTTCTTTTTTGTTTGTTGTATTCTATTGTAGGATTTGTAGGTATTTGTTATTCTTTGTTGGTATAGGTTTAGTTGTACCAGGGCCTCTAGCCAAAAGCCACTTTAGCGCTTGTCTACAGTGAGAGTAGAAATCAAAATGTATGGGGATGACACTGACAAGTGTCGAAATTTACGTCAATTCCATATAATTTGGTTTTCTACTCTACATGTAGACAAGCGCTAAATGGCATTTGGCTACAGCTGCTGGCTACATACAACTTATTTCTTAATATTTTTGTTTCATTGAGTACTTTTTCTTATTTCATTAGGTTTAATATTCATTTATTACTGGCACCGACTCCAAAAAACAATAGGTAGGTATATAAGTATAACTATTTTAAGATATTTAGATGGTTTAACTTTAATTACTTTGATATAGTTTAGAAAAATTATAGTATTAGGTAATAGGTATTAGGAATTATTTTTTAATTTTTAGTTTTTTTTTTGTGTTCTCGCATTTGAAGTCGGTTTTATTTTTTTTAAAAAGTTAATTATTTTATTTTAAAATTTTTAGTGTTACTTTTTTGTAGATACCCTTAGTGCATTTAATATGGGTAGGCCTACTAAACGCGCAGCCTTAATGAGACAGCGCCGTTTGGAGGAAACAAAAGAAGAAAGGGAAGTGCGTTTAAAAGAAAGTAGAGAAAGAAATGCTAAAAATATATTAAAGGAGAGTGATGAGCAGCGGACTTCTAGACTTTCATAAAAAATTTCATCCCCAATTTTCCACCCTTGGGGGTTGAAATATTTTCTTCAAATTCGCATGAAACCACCCTTTTGATAATACCTATTCAATAAAAAAATAATCGTTCAAATTGGTTTAAAATCGGCGGAGTTATTGCGTATAAATAAATTCATCCCCTATTTTCCACCCTTGGGGGTTGTTATTTTTATTAGTAAATTTAAATGGGACCAACCTTGAGGTATTACCTATACGCCGAAAAAAGAATTTTTCAAATCGGTTCATAATTGGCGGAGTAATCGCGTAACAAATATAGAAAAAAAAAAAAAAAAAACATACGGGTCGAATTGAGAACCTCCTCCTTTTTTTGAAGTCGGTTGAAAACCATTAGGGGCGCTTATGAAGTGCTTGCATTTTTTTTAAGGGGGGATAATCATCGAATGTCTGCTCCCGCCTTTAGTGTCAGACTCTTACTGACTAAAAACCACCCCGTTCCTTCTCCTGCACGTCGAGCCGGAGCCCCGGTTACCCGTTAGGTTCTCCGCGACTAATACGAGCGGACGGCGCGTAAGCAGTCCCCACTGCCAAAAATTACGCGTCCGAGTTATCCACATTAGAGATAATCGCAGGGATCAACCTAACCGCAGTGCAATGGATGAAGTGCTTGCATAGGGTGCTCTTTAAGTTTAATCCATCTCTAGATTACCCACATGGGTGAATCATGCGTTCACCCATTAATCGTCCAGCACGAATGGACTGGCTCGACCGGAGTGATACCACGGCCGCGAAGAAAACCAACGTGAAATACCGCTTGCGTTGTGTTTCGCCGTGTGAGTGAGGTTACCGGAGGCACAATTGCTTCCCTAATCCCCAAATCCTCTAATCCCTAACCCTGAAAAGGTGGTAACGCTCTTGTGTTGCGTGTGCGGCGCCGATTGCTTACCATCAGGTAATCCGTCTATTCAAATACCATAAAAAATATCTTGAAGGTCCCGCGGGCGTCGCAAAAGAGCCAGCGAAGGTACTAGTTACACATTCCACAGAGACCGGATAATAAACAGCGCTGTTTGATTTTTTTATGGAATAGGAGGCAAAAGGGCAGACGGATCACCTGATGGTAAGCGATCAGCGCCGCCCATAGACACCCGCAACACCAGAAGTCACAGGTGCGATGCCAGGCCTTTTAAAAAGAAATACGCCCTTTTCTTGGAGGTTTGAAGGTCGTATCGGTTCGGAAATACCGCCGACGACGGATCATTCCACAGTTTTGCTGTGCGAGGCAGAAAGCTACATGAGAAGCGCAGAGGTGATAAACCTGAATGGAGATGTTGGCAAACTTGCCTTAAGCCCGTTTTCACTAAGGTATCTCGAATTTTAAGGGGCTCCTTGAAGCTAAGTTAGGTGATACTTAACGACATTTTACTATTTTCGAACCACAGAGGGGTTCTTCCTCATAAGCAGCGTGCGCGGTCGCGGCGACATCGACGTCAGTGAGCTGCGCGACGTCGCCGGTCGAAACTAGTAGAGCTTCTCTCAGTATATTCACGTGAGTAACCCGCGATTTTAGTACATTTTTAGTATGTATCACGACAGTAATTATAAAAACAAGGTTTTTTTTAAGGGGGGAAAATCATCGAATGACTGCTCCCGCCTAGGTGAGGCGGAAGGGAGTGTCAGACTCTTACTGACTAAAAACCACCCCGTTCCTTCTCCTGCACGTCGAGCCGGAGCCCCGGTTACCCGTTAGGTTCTCCGCGACATAAAAATAAGGTTCTCCGCGACATAATAAAAACGGGGGTAATATGGTCTGGAATACCACATATGCTACTTATTATACCACGGGATTGCGGGGAAAGCCGCTGGCAGAAGCTATAGTTGACATAATCTGCAGCATATTACACTGGTTAAGCACGTTGTGAACATACGAACGTATCTCAAGGCCTCGTGATTTTCCGCGTGTTACAAACACATCACCACTACGAGTTATCTATAAAGTTACTATGGATCTTATCGATGTGACGTTTGCGTGAATCATCGGTAATTTAGACTTGTTCCTACCTCGGACTTTACTTGTTTGAAATTATAATTAATCTAGCTTTAAAAGTTTCAGTTTAAAAGATTCATAAACACCGTAAAATCTATTTCGTTATCGTCCCGAAGTAGAATGGTTCTGTCTTGGTAATACAATCTTTATCTTTATATATATAATTCTTCTGTGAATGTGTATGTCACTGAACTTCTCACAAATGACTGGACCGGTTTTGATAAATTTTTTTGTGTGTGTTCAAGGGGATCTGGAAATGGTTTAGATTCACAAATCAGCCCGGCAGATGGCGCTGCACTCGATGTCTATCAAGTGGATATGCAGGACAACGTCTGTCGGGTCCGCTAGTAGTTTTATAAAGAAATGAAACGTTTTAAAACAATAAATTTATGGTGGACCATTGCAAAAAGCAAACTTCGAAAGCGCATACGAACTCACAGTACATAATCAAAACATCACGCCATGTCATTCTCGAAGAGGAGTTGCTCGTCGGGTGGCACGTGCGATGCGAGTATTGCCTACTAATTCAAGTCAAGTGCGTCATGTGTGTATACCCAGTATTTTTTTTTGTAAATAAAAAAAAAACATGTCAATTTTTTTTTGTCTTTACTTTATACATCGAAAGTACTCCTTATGGGAAGTTGTTTTACCTCGGGACGAAAACGAATCAGATTTTACGGTGCATATCAGAGAGCGCCGCTGCATTGTCTCTATCCCCCGGCTGGGGGCCTTAACTTCTTGTTAATGGCCACCGCAGGGTTTGTCCAGGTCCCGGGCCTGCGGACGGCGAGCATGAATGACTCGCCGCCCGACCAGAACCACACCCGAGCGTACGGCGCCGAGAGTTCCGCGCGCACCTCAAGGAACCATCAGACCACCACAGATGGGGCCCAATATAGCTGATGCCCGATACGGAGCCGTGGAGGGCTGAACGGGTTGCCTGGGCTCCGGCTCGAATTGCAGGAATAGGAACGGGGTGGTTTTTAGCCAGTAACAGTCTGGCACTTCTCCCGCCTTAGTCCTTTTAAAATTTGCGATCTGTAGTCCGCTTGCGAAGCTTGAAGATTATGGCAAATCCCTCTTAGGTAATATGTAGACAAGGTTCATATTCCAACAGCCCGTGACAGTCTTTGGACTATATTATTTTTACTAATAAGATTTTGACACTCCCTCTCGCCTCAGCCAGGCGGGTGTCATTGAATGATTTTTCATCCTCCAAAAAAAAAAGGCATATCCTATATCCTTAGCATGATAAAATACGAGTGATCCTATAAAAAAAAACTATCTTTATCAAATGTGTAATCTCCTTAGTCGGCAATCACCACACCCGCGGGAATTGTAGGGGTTCTGACAAATGGATTCTACCCTTTCATTGTAGCTTACAAAAAATCCCGAATGAGTACAACCGGACAGTTCATCTACAGCCCAGCAAGTTTTACCCGAGTTCATATTATCAGAGATATACAGGTATAACGTTTAGCCTGACAAAGATAAGATAAGTACTCCAAATAAATATGTTTACTTTTCTGATTATGATTGTGATATAACCATGATAGATAATACCTATATCTTTTTTTGAGGGGGAAAATTGGAAATCATCCAATGACCTATCCGTTATCCCACCTTGGGTGAGGCGAGGGAGTGTCAGATTTCTACTGACTAAAAACCACCCCTTTCCTGCTTTTGCTCTTCGAACGCTGTTGGAAAAATGCTAAAATAAGGTCAGTCATAAAATCAATCACTGCATAGTATAAAACAAAGTCGCTATCCACAGTGTGTCTGTCCCTATGTATGCTTAGATCTTTAAAACTACGCAACGGATTTTGATGCGGTTTTTTTTAATGGATAGACAGAAGCTTCTTGAGGAAGGTTTATATGTATAATAAATGCATATTGCCGTGGAAAGCAAGAACTGTATTGATGTATTGAACAGTCGAAATAATTTTGAATAAGAAAAGTACCAAATTAAGTCACCTTTAAAATTGTTGTAAAAGTAATATTTTTTTAAGTTATAGAAGGTTCGATAAAATCACATAACATAACATCACGCCTTTTATCCCCGAAGGGGTAGGCAGAGGTACACACAGAAGTAACACCCACTTTTCACTATTTATATTATGAGTCCCATGTCATAGGGAGTGAGCCTATTGCCATATACCGGGCACATTTCCATACTCCGTGCTACTACTGAGACTTTTTTTTAAAACCCAGTAATACTTTGTCCGACCCGGGAATCGAACCCGAGGCCCCTTGCCCGGTAGTCGCACTTGCGACCACTCGACCAACGAGGCAGGTTCGATAGAATCAATAAAATGAAAAAAGACGCTAGCGGTTCCGTTTCTTAGCTCCCATGTTTAGATTAGCCTACTTTGTATAGTCTATCTTTACGATTAGTGTACATAAATATGACATTGGTAGTACTTACGATAATGCACGTTAACGTTACATATCTAGTTTGACCTTGACATCGGAAGGGTGAAAATAAATAAACTCTGTACCTGTCTCAACCTCTGGTATGTAGGAACATAGATCTACGCGAGACACAATGCGTTTTCTATTAATCAAATCAAATGTCTTTATTTGCTGAACAGAGGTGTTTTTTTTTTTTTTAATGGGGGAACGTCATCGAATGTCTGTTCCCGCCTGGGTGAGGCGGAAGGGAGTGTCAGACTCTTACTGACTAAAAACCACCCCGTTCCTTCTCCTGCACGTCGAGCCGGAGCACCGGTTACCCGTTAGGTTCTCCGCGACTGAACAGAGGTGTAGTACATAATTAGTGCCTAAGGTGTTATTTATTTTTGTTAAATATTGTATCTCTTTGTTCTACCCGTTGGGCATGCAAATATTGGGTATGTCTCAACCATTGTACGTATTAATGAAATTCACAATCAGTCAACATATGTAGGTACGAGTCAAAAAAAATAAAGCTATCAAATAATTAGTCATAGAAATTATACATCAATAATCGACAATTATATTGTTTCTCATATATCGACAGACAAGAGGTTAAAGCTGCGAATTTTCGAAAATTTAACTATTGGAATGATGACAGGGTATGAAAATCTTATACTATTACATAAAGCGGAAGAGTTTGTTTTTTTGTTTGTTTGTTTGTTTGAACGCGCTATTCTCCGTAACTACAAGTCTGATTTGAATAATTCTTTTTGTGTTGGATAGCGCATTTATCGAGGATGGCTTTTTTTAAGGGGGGACAATCATCGTATGACTGCTCCCGCCTGGTTGAGGCGGGAGGGCTCAAAAACCAACCCTGTCTTTACTAACATGAAATAGATTTTACTGTACTGTACATAGTACATACCTTTATACGCATACAATCCCATGCCTGGTTTGTACTCTTTCCTCCAAATGATGACGTCCTCCGCCTCCATGTACGGCACCCAGCCGTCTGGGGACTCCGCTGGTAACGCTGATACTTTGCATCTGAAAAATATGTAGGCTATAAAACGTCACGCTAAGTTCGATAGGAGCCGAGCAGAGCGGGTGGAACGGAAGTAGCTAGTGTTTCATATTTGTATTACAAAATTTTCAACAACATAACATCACGCCTTTTATCCCCGAAGGAGTAGGCAGAGGTGCACATAATGCCACTGTACAATGTAACACCCATTTTTCACTATTTATGTTATGAGTCCCATGTAATAGGGGGTGAGCGTATTGTCATATACCGGGCACAGTTCCAGACTCCGTGCTACTACTGAGATTTTTTTTAAAACCCAGTAATACTTTGCCCGACCCAGGAATCTTAATTGTTAAGAAAATTAATTTATATTGATTTATAAATAAAAAAATAAATTAAAAAGAAAATTAATACATACTGAAATTATGTCGCTTTCACAGTGCTTTGCTTGACAGGAATTATTAAAATGTAAAAACAAAAAACGTGTGTAGCAAATGCTGCTCAAGAATATGAGCCCCAAGCGCAGCTCGAAATCGGTCCGGCTACCTCAAATAATTACATGAGTAAGCAGTAACACATTAATTCTATCTAATAAAAGACATTAATAGGTTTCACCAATCTCTCCTTGATTTAAAGAAACCCCTAAACTAAGATAGATGAAACCTAAAATCATTTTGTTTTCAGCAAGTTACACCTAACGGTACAAATAAGGATATAGTGGTATAAGTACTTACTACCGTACGCTAAATGTAAGTGTGTATGTATCCTTAATTATATTACTTAATATCATAATAAACTCAGTTATGAAGCATCTCTCGTGTGTTTAACTGGTCTCCCAAACACTCACCGTACATGGCGACCCTGCCATCGAAATCCGGCACGTGTAAACCGATTAAGATACGCATTACCATTTTTGGTATGGAACTTTTGCTCTGAATAAATCATATGTTTCAACTGGATTAGCAAAATGAGTGCGGTATTACTGCATAGAAAGTGAGACATGTACTGTTAATAAGGGGCTAGTTTAGGGATGATGGATGAAAACGAACATAACAGGACACTGTTTAAGCTGGACAACATTTAAGCAGGCCGTGGAGCTTCTGACTGCTGGGTTGCTGCAGTGATGGTTGGCTATTAAAGTATTAATTAGTATTCTTTTTCTTAATCATAAGTACAATGTCCAATGGTTTTTTGTTGTATCCTTTTATGTATCAATATTTAGTAAATTTTATTATAATTAAATTACGATAGCGCTACCGCAACACGGTCATTATTGCCGTTATACTTTATACTAAATTGTGGGCAATGGTGTGGGTTACATATTTATTGTAGTTGTTGTTTAATGTAAAACTTTTATGTAAAATCTTAATATGTAACTGTTTTTTGTCCCTTAAATAAATAAATAAATAAATAAATAAACAGATGCAAATACACTCACGAGCAGTACGGTACTCCAGGCTGCTTCTTCTCAATAACTAGTCTCTTCCCGCAGCCGGTGCAGAACAATGTGTTCCTCGATAGCGTCTCCACTCCTTCCAGTTCTGATAATAAAGCCTGGGTGGAAAGAAAACATTTATCTTATACTATTATATAAAATTTAAGTGTGGGAGAGCCATGCTTCGGCACAAATGGGCCGGCTTGACCGGAGTGATACCACGGCCAAGCAGAAAACTGACTTGAAACAACGCTTGCGTTGTGTTTCGTCGTGTGAGTGAGATTATCGGAGGCCCAATAACCCCCCTCCCTAGTCTCCCGAATCCCCCACAATCCTCAAATTCCCAATAGGCCGGTAACGCATTTGTAACGCCTTGGTGTTCCAGGTGTCCATGGGCGGCGCCGATTGCTTACCATCAGGTTATCCGTCTGCTCGTTTACCAGCTTATGCCATAAAAAAAAATAAAATTAAAAATTTTGTTCGTAAGTTAGGTAATGAAAAAATATTACAAACGTATTTTTTATTTTGTTGTATAATAAAATGATACTTAGATAAAACGAATCAAAGTTTAAGAGTGGGGGCTAAAACGTGATTTCTACGTATAAAATGTAAGTACATAGAAGTGACGTCACGCGACATTTCAAATCAATATATGGTCGAAAGTATTCGTTTCTGTAAGAAAATAAAAAATACGTGTCTAATGATTTAAAATAATCTACAAGACGGACATTAACCTTTTGAACACCAGAGCAAAAACACATGAACCTGCCCTCAACGCCAAGCCACAAATTCCGCGCAAATTTCTACGGAAGAAATAGGGATTCCAATAGGGAATCAAATTGTTGATTTCGTGTTTCCGGTTCCGCTTTTTCTGTCATGTATTTGTGTCGTTGGCGTCCAGGGACAGTTTTCACTTGTCACTTATATGTGACATCGGCGCTCAAAAGGTTAAAATAATAATTAGGCATCTAACCTATTGTATAACCTAATTTTTTTGTTTTTAGTTGTGTTATGTTGTCGTCATTAGGATTTCTCTTTTATATATTTTCTTGACATTTTTGTAATTCCATCATAATCATTATCAACAGCCTATAAATGCCCACTGCTGAGCAAAGCCTCTTCTCACACAGAGAAGATTTGAGCATTAATCACCACACTTGCTCAATGCGGGTTGATGATTACAAACTTATAATTACAAATTATAAGCTCAGGTTTCCTCACAACGTTTTCCTTCACCGTTTGTCAGTGGTGTCTAGATAATCTTAGAAACTACATTATATATAACTCGGAAAAAGTGACATTGATACTTGCCGTTGGTAGGTTTCGAGCCCGTACCATCATGTTCCACGACAATTCAATCCAAAATTTTGTAATTTAATTTCATTTACGTTAATACAATTGATCTATGTTTGTATTCCCATAATGTGATTCCCTTTAATTGAAAGATCACAAGGTTGCTGTTACTTCTGTGGATTATATTTTAGCATGTAAGTGTATCTTTTGTTGGGAGTCCAAATAGTTAAATAAACTAACTACATTCATAAATAAATTGCGCTTCTTTTGGATTTGGTACTTTTTTTTAAATATATATTTCCCCACATTAGGATTTTCACCTGAGTCGTTGGTGCATTTACAAACATACAAGTATACATACACAATGACACCCTGACCAGAAACAACAATTTGTGGATCACACAAAGTGCATCAAGCCCGTGACATGTTGCACGGCAGCTGGTTGCCCAGCCATCGCACCAACCGTGCAGTCAGATAATATTCTAATGAAAGACCCAACTTCATATCTTTCAACTTTTAGCTCTCGCATCACTATATCTGTCTCACTATATGTCAGACAGACATTCATCAGAGAATGCAGCTAATATGCTAGTACCGACAACTTTTCTAGAAATTATTAAAGAACTAATAATATAGGTGATGTCAGTAATAAAATTAACTGGTTATAAAATGATGTAAGTAAATATCAACTATACAACAATAAAATTACAGTTGATTATGGAATGCAAGTATCTGAAAGATCCTGGGTCTAACAATAAATGTTAAGGTGTCAATGAAAACTGAACTCTTCACATAGGCAATAGAGTAAAGTTTCTAATGGCTTATATTTCGCCTTGTAACATTACAATTTAGTTTTAATTAACGTCTCGGTCCCAGCAACCGCTTGCTTGCACTTGCTAGTACAAATCTAAACTAAAAATTAGATTCTAAAGATATAATTTTAAATATCGGTTTAACTCGTCGAGTACCGGTTTTATAGACACAATTAAAGAACAATAGGTCGCGGTCACCGGTGACCGCTTGGTGTTTGACAGTTTAAGAAAAGCTGTTTGAAAGAATATTTATACATTTTTAAAATATTAGTTACAAGTTGAATTTTTTTGTTCAATTACCCACATGTCTTTAGTTATATATTTTTTTTACTAAAGAGGTAAAAGTTAAAAGGTATATTCAGTAACTAAATTAATATATGATTGTCTCTTTACAGGGCAAACTGGAATTTAGCATAATTTAATTCAACAAAACAAAGATTCAATAATTGTTTTATCTTATATAGCTTGAAAAGGGTCAAAGACAGTTTAAAAATACAATCAAAGACAACACGACTTTGTTTTTTAAACTTAAATGTAGAAAACAAAGAAATATAAAAATAACAATATTGCAGAATAACAGAGGTTTATTGAACTGCCTTTTGTATGTAAACAGTGTGAATCATTTATTTTTATATTTGACCTTGACACAATCAAAACACTTACTTTTCAGTATTTTTCCTAAGATTTTTATATAACAACAAAGCACCATCACCATAGATAATAGCTTTGTTTATCTACTTTCTGAATTTTGTGGCAAAGGTAATATGAATGTAGAGCCTAAGCATAAAATTTTAGTTTCGCACAAATTCACCAAAAATCTGTGAAACAACTTTATGGTAATTACCTATATTGTAATGTAATATTTACATATTTTAGCGCATCCACAATAAAGGGCATATTATGCCTGATTATTTATTATCTAATTATTGTATTATTAGAATCTAATAAAAAAGAAAAACAGAAAAATAAACATAACAAAAATAGGGTAATCTGAATACCTGTAATTCCTCGTCTGTAATATTTTTGTCGCAGCTGACTGGGGTATCATCGTCGTTGTCTCCATCGCGAGCCTTGTAGGCTGCAGTCGCGGATATAAGCAGAGTTCTTCTCGGTCGAAAGAAAGTTTGTTTAAATCTTTGTATCACTTCCCTTACACTGCGATCTCTTCTACACCTTTTAACCACCGTACTCACTATATTACATCTTGTCCAAGCACTCCACACGCGAAAGTCCCTCAAAATAAACCTCAAAGCAGACATTCTACCAACTTCTTTTTTACCTAAATTCGCCAAAAGTCCATCGTACCAGATCCATTGCTTGAACAGATATCGAGACGTACCAAGTAGCGAAAATGTACGTTGTTGTTTAAAGCCTGTTGTGGTAATATAATTTGTTTTAATTTACTACATAACATCTCGGGAGCGATTGCGAAATTATAACCTCACTTTGTTCGTCTGATTGAATGACATTGAATAGTGATGCACCTAGTATACTAACTGGAAAACTGGAAAAACATTCTGATTATGCAATAATAAAAAGAATTATATGTTGATTAAATAATCGACTACTTTTTTTTGTGCACTGAAGTGAATATTATCATTTTAACAAAAATCTACGTTGTCATCAACATTCTCTAAGTCACAGAGTTATGGTGAGGTAGAAGTATGACATTTAAACACATATTTGTATCTGCATATTATCATCATATTGTTGTATATTATCGAGCTGTATCTCGCAAGAAACTCAAAGAAATTTAAATTTCGCGGGCTACGTTGAAGCATCCTTAACGGATACTTACATGAAAATGGTGAAACAGGCGCTTACTATTAAGTAATCTCTGATTGTAGTTTTTATTAAACTTTTTTTTATCTAAAAGAATATTGTTTAACTTTTCTGCTATAAAATAAGATGAAAGTGATATGGATGTAACTGAAATGATTTCATTCATGTCGCATAATTATACAAGGGTTCCAGATTCAAAGGTATGTAATTAAATTTTTTCTAACTCACAATCAATCAATAACAAAAAATCAAATAGTATTTAGAAAAGATGGAATAGAGTATTTTAGAATTAAATAATTATGTGAAAGTTGGCTCGTCCCTATTTTATAATGTTGCCATAAAAAACTTGAATAAAAAGTTCTTTATCTAACCTTGACTATACCAAAATAAGTACGTTAAAACAAACCGATTTAACTGAAATCTTTTAGTAAATACTTGTAGTAATAGATCTCAGTGTTTATTTAAAATAAACAATGAATATATTAGTCATTCACCTCATAAATGAAATAACAAAAATCAATATTAAATTTTTTGATGCTGGCAACAACGAACCGCATTTTTCTTCTTTCATTTCATCGACGGACGACTGAGCGTTCGTTCGATCGTTTGTTCAACGTCATCTTTTATCCCTGTAATGTCTTATTTCTACGTCCCACATGCTTAGGGGTAACCGAATAAAGAAAAAATCCAAGAATCCCCGCACTAGAAGAAAAGTACGAGCGACGGCAACCGTAAATGTGAACTCAAAAGTGCGTGAATAGAGTAACGAGGTTCTTGTCCGTCCGGTTCGATCTGGATTAGAGCAGTTTGGACCGCAAGTCGGGCTCCCTTCCCCTCGTATCCCTTTACTAAGAAGTTTAGTGGTGTGTTATTTAGACTTTATTTTAATTATATTTGCATATTAGTGCGTTTTTGTGGTGTAATAGTTAAATAAAACCGACCCAAAATGTCTGAAGAATCGTCTGCGGATCGCAATGTCGAAATATGGAAGATCAAGAAGCTGATCAAGAGCTTGGAAATGGCTAGAGGGTGAGTTGTTGAAAGTTTTTTAGTGTTTCATTTAAGTTTTGTTTGGGTTATGAAGTTTTCCGTGGCATGTTTTTGGCCACATGATTGGACGAAACTGCCAACAAGGCTGCGTCACTTTTTGCACATGCGCTTATGTTGCATGATGCTCGAGACGTTGGCTAGCTGACACGCTAGCAAGTTGGTTCGAAGTAGAAAGATTTCGACCTTAATCATACGTTGTTAAAGATGCCAGATTGTGTAGAACTTTGGTTATGTTGTGTGCAACGTGCGCGTGTCTTAGGGCGCCCGTCGAAAGCATACGTCAAAAAGTGACCAATGACTAACGATATCTTTTGTAACTTTTTTCCGCGTCCACAAGCCATAAACAATTATCTTATTATGTTTGGCAGTAAACTTGTATAGAATTTTGAATTCCGAATATTTTGCAATGTTATTGCAATTTTTTTTTTCATTACTTTGCCAAGTCACTACATTGTCATCTTGCAGATGGTGTAGTATTGCAAAATGCACCTTAGCTACCTTGAAATAAAGTTTAAAATCGAATTCATTTTCTATTTATGGAACCTACTATTGCATGGTATTTTTGACATAACCTTAAAATTTCTAGACTAAAACAGCTGTTAGGTCTAAAGGTCATCCATTGGACTTATTTACAGCTGTTAATACAAGAACTATGATCAAAACACCTAAGTAATTTCAAATTCACCAATGAATAATAAAACTGTTTTAACTACCTATAGACAACTATTGTGTTCCTTTTTTTAAATATTGTGAAATCTGGACTGCAATATATTTTCAAAGAAATTAAAAAATTGTGCAACTATATCCAAAACAATAATAAAGAAATATAACATCTTCTTAGTTAATTTAGTTATCCTTTAATATAATGATTTCTGTTAAATAAATCAAATTATAACTTATTTACATCTAAATTTAATTAACACATGTAAGCTAAAATGATGCTAATTTACACACACAATATGGTAGTTGTTTATTCAACAGTTTATGGAATAGTTTATTATCAATTTGCAATGAAATTCTTCCATTACCGATCACAATGGCGCAACCATGGTATCTAGAGACTAGAAAAAACACCATGCTTTATCTAAGTGTCTTTCGAACATTTACTTAGATCACCAAAAACCACTTGATTGCACAACCAACTGTGTGAAATATTCCTAGATCCTAGACATGTTGCGGAGAACCTAACGGGTAACCGGGGTCTCTGGCTCGACGTGCAGAAGAAGGAACGGGGTGGTTTTTAGTCAGTAAGAGTCTGACACTCCCTCCTGCCTCACCCAGGCGGGAGCAGTCATTCGATGATTTTCCCCACTTAAAAAAAAAGATCCTAGACATACTATTGGCAAAGTTTCTGGTCATACACTTTTTACACAAAATCCTGTGGCAAAATTCACTATTGACCATCCTGTTTTCCCTATGGTTGCTTACCGAGTGCCTGCGAATATTGCCTTATAAAGGTAGACCGACAACTTTGTCGATAGTAATTACATATTGTGTTTAATGTGTGGTATACTTTCAAGACTACTACATATTATTATTGCATTGGTTATGTGACTTGGTCACATGACCATAATGTTCTAACTTCTAATTAATTAGGTTTGTATTGTGAACCTGATTGAATAAGAGTAACCTATGGAGTTTCTTGCTCGTTTTTCTCCATAGTAATCTACACTTTGGAATGAGCAAATAGCTTCATTAGAGGACTGACCGACAGACTGTAATTTTTTATACAATTTTCGATTTTTTACCAAAACAGTAAAGTCGAAAATCTGAAATTAAACAGACAGTAATTTGACCTGCATGGCCATTGTAGTTAGTAATTCGCACTAGTCGCTTAGTTAGACCTTGACGCTATATACTCGAATACGATCGATATTGTCGTATTAGCGACAGAATTTCCTAGGGAAATTAAACGCTGTTGTGTACACGGTTACCATGGCAACGGAATTGTTTCTACTCCTTAGTTACTGAAAGTATTTCTAGAGGTAATCGTCTTATGTCCAAATACTCAATCGGCACTCAATTTTAAGACGCGCTTCTGTCACTACATCATATTCTTTGTAAAATGATAGTGTTGGGACGATATTTAAGTAGGTACAATTAATAATAGGGATGATGATCGTACGTCAGTTAGGTAACGAAAAAATATTAGACACGTATTTTTTTATATAACGAATCAAAGTTTAGGAGTGAAGGCTGAAACGTCATTTTTACGTATAAAATGTACATAGAAATGACATCACGCGACATTTCGAATCAATATATCGACGAAAGTATTCATTTCTGTAAAAAAATGACAAATACGTGTCTAATGATTTAAAATAATCTACCAGATGGGCATTAAAATAAAAATTAAACATCTACCTTTCTTAAAAAAGAAAAAATCCTGAAAATCCTACGGGAACGGGAGAAAACGGAATTGCGCTTACGAAGTCGCAGGCAGAAGCTAGTCTAAAATAATTATAACATAACATAACATAACATCACGCCTTTTATCCCCGAAAGGGTAGGCAGAGGTGCACATTAAACCACTGTGCAATGTAACACCCACTTTTCACTATTTATGTTATGAGTCCCATGTAATAGGGGGTGAGCCTATTGCCATATACCGGGCACAATTCCAGACTCCGTGCTACTACTGAGAAAATTTAAAAACCCAGTAATACTTTGCCCGACCCGGGAATCGAACCCGAGACCCCTTGCCCGGCAGTCGCACTTACGACCACTCGGTCAAAGAGGCAAATAATTATATTATGCCGTACTTTAGATGCCTCTTACCTTTTCTATTATCGGTTTTTCTAATACTATTTTGTCAAAACACGCCCTCACAAAGGCCATTGTTCCATAAATGAGGACGCGTCACACAAATGTGATCCGTAATTCATCCACGGAAATGCTAGTTTAGCGTGTCATAACTCATTCCATTACCATTATTCATATTCGCGTTACAATAGGGATGTTTCTAGGTAATCAGATTCTGTATTATTTTCCGAAATGCCGGAAATGTTAGTTTTCTATGAATTATGTATGAGATTCCTCGTTCAGGCGTCATTTTACGTTGATACGATAATTTTTCTCGTGAATTCTCCTTAAAAATTAACTAAAACTAACATTTGTCATCAATTTGATGGGGGCCAAAGTTATTGTAAAGGACTTCACGCTTAATTAGCGTCCACCAACCTATCATTAAAGGAAAATATGATTATTTTAATGCATTAATGTCTTTAATTTATAAAAATGTCGAAGCTTTATTCTACTGGACACATCACAAAGATGTTCGCTGAAAGACAGTTAAAATAAAGCTGTAGCGTTTAAAAACTTAACAAAGACAGACTTGACGGAGCGTTGCACTTCCGTTGTTTGTGGTCGGCAAACAGCTGTCTAGTCGCGCGGCGTCTGGGAACACCCCTACTCCCCTCCCCTTTCCCTCTTCTACCATAGACTGCCTGAGGGACATTAAGACTGTACTAATGTCACTTTAACTTAAGGCAAAGTCTACAAAATTGTTTACAAAAGTAATGGATGACTCTAAAAACCGCAATTATTCGCTTAATGTTGTCATTAACTAAAGTAAATGATTATTGATTTGCTTATTGCTACTGCACTATCGACTGAAATAAACAAACGATCTTAAAAAAACCACAATCAGCCGAACATAGTACCTCCTCCTTTTTTTTAAATCGGTAAAAAAGTATGGATCGATTCAGGTTTTTACCAAAAATTATAGAAATAAAGTCAAAAACTGATCTCAGTTCAAAACTGCCTTAATGTCATCGGCCGTATACATATGTATATTTAATTAGATAGACTATTTTACACAAGATTTTTCAATTTGAACGAATAGTCTTTGCTAATAGCGCGTTGAACCAAACAAGCTTAGTAGCGTTGTAATAATTATGTTTAATGGGTGTAAGTTATGCTACTTATTTTGTTCTCGTTACGACTTTAGTGAATATATAGAAATAACGGTAATTTAATTTGAAGTTCTATGTCGTCACTAATAGAGTCTACATTGGTTACGTATACCTGATAATGTAATAGTTCAGAATCCCTCCAAAATCGTAGTCGCATTTATAAACATGCAAAATACCATACCAGGAATTCTGTAGGTCATACAAATGTTTGTTCAATGCGGCAAACGCGCGTCTCATACTTATTACGTCAGCTATGACGTAATGTGTGTGACGTCACGGCAATCTCACCCTTATAGTCCTTGGCTGGGTAAAGGTAGTAAGTTCATATTGCGTAATATACTCGACTGTCCCAGGAGACTTGTTTTTGAATCCTCCACATGGTTACCAAACGTGGGTGTTGTGGCAAATTGGGTTTATTACTTTTAGAGTTATCTAACATCGGTTTGTTGGTTTTGCGTAATCTTCATTGGAAGTTACTGTGTGGAGAAAGTAAAAGAATGGCACCATCCTGGTGTCGTACGAATCGGAGTCCATAAAAGGCGTAGACATGTGATAGAGACCGGGCTGCAACGTCAGCAGCGTTCTCTAAAAAACCTGGACCATTTAAACTCGTTTCTCCTAATCTCGATCGTATATACTCTGCTTTATTAATTTCGTACCGAATTCATTCATTCATAGCCTCACGTCCCCATGGGGGTAGGCTAAGACTAGTAAGTCATAAAAAGTACACCATTGTGACTTAAATTAAACAAGGATGAAGAGTAACTACTTACTGGTCCGATTTGAAAGGTTCTTTACGTGTTGGATAAGCCATTTATCCGGGAAAGTATAGGCTATAAAACTGCTGTTTCATTTTGATCGTAGCGAGCACGCTTGCAGCCGAGCAGAGCTAGTTTAACCATTTCAAATAAAACATACAAAATAAATACGGTATTTCAATAAGGTACAGGTACAATCGCACAGTTGAACACGTAACCCATAAAATCTATCTCCACATAGCGTGTCGCCAATCTCGCCGGATGTCATTTATGATTCAACCTTGACTTCCACGTTTTTCCGCTGTAC